CCCCCCCCCCCCCCCCCCCGCAACAAGCTATTTTCCTGAAGAAAAAGCTTTTTCGGCACTCATAAAATCAATTCCTCTTGAAGAAAAATTAAAAATGCAATATGCACCCTTTCCCCATATGCATTATATTAAATAGTATGCCAATGTATGTAAATGAGTCTGAAATTCAACTAGATGGAAGTATTTAAATATTCATAATCACAGTACAGCATATGCAAACCAGGCTCTCAGCAGAATTGCGCTGCAGTCTCAAATAACAGCTGTACTCGGGCAAAGATGCTTTAACATAACTAATTCGATTATTAATGAAAATGTGGTCAGCGCTGGTTGTATGTTTGTTAACATTCGTGCAGTGGTGTTAACCTCTGCCAAATGTTAAGTACGTGCTTAATTCATATCGAAGTCGGTGGACTCTAAGTATAAACTTTAATGATTTGCCTACACATCACCTCACCGTTTGCTGAGCTCCTCTAATTTGTTGCTAATCTGCACTAAATATTATCATATTTTGTTGGTAATAAGAGGATAGTCTAGTCTACGTTATGTTAATTCGAGAAACCTTTCGATCCACACAAGAAAGGATGTGGGCTAGAATTTAGCCTCTGAAGAACGGGACGTGGTGTTTACGCTTTTTTAACATTAATGCATATTACCTAAGTTCTAATGTATATACTCACTCATGTATAATCAGAAGTGCATTTTTGAAGCGAGTTATGAATATCTTATGATGAACCCGGAAAGGTGAGCATGAGGCACGGATTTAAAATTAGTCCATTAGCTTTTTCTACAAAGAAAGACAGAAGGTGTAATTCTTTTCAGCTGATATGGATGTGAAAGAATGAAGTAAAAATAATTCAGCTTTTTCAAGCTGTGCTCATTTCTAAGAAGTGCCAATAGCTGAGATGTTATGTTGGAGTTTTTGTCTTTTTTTTTTTCCTCCTCCTTTTCCCCTGCTTGGAGATAAGAAGGAAGTTACAATTTAAAAAATTTATAACATACAAAATGCGAGATGATAATATACTTTGCTTCCTTTCTTTTTATGATTCCAAACAAGCTATAATTGGTCCATAAGTTGGCTTGAAAAGCTGCAGAATTGCACCTGTGCTTCTAATGAGCTTTGCAATTATATAAATAGTTTTCTTCCTCCTTTTAATTATGGAGTGACAAGGTTAAAGTTGCACCTGAGTTCCCTTTATGGGGTTTATTTCCTTGCTCCCTCACCCAATCCACAAAAATCCCCTACCAAAAAAAAAAAGTCACGGTTCCCTCCGAGCTGGCACCCACAGAAAGAAATCGAGTCGTCGCTTGTGAACTACCACGATGTGTGTTCTCTTTCTGCCCCAGGAACGTCCTTGCCGGACAGGACGGCCGAGAGCAGCCCTGGCCCCCGCAGCCTGAAACTCCAGCTTTGCGCCTTCCGCCGGCAAACACGAATTAAGAGGGGCGACGAACACGGAGGGAGCGTTGGCTGCCGATACGAGCCCCAGCAGCGGGCTGTGCTGCTTGCTGTATGCCGTCGCCCCTGCCGAGGAAGGGCGCTGCTGTCTGCGACGTGTCCGGTGGGTGCTAGCAGCGCGTCCTCCCTCCTGGGTTTCCGTCCCAGAGTCCCGTAGGTGCCCGTCAGGGACCTGTCAGGTCGCGTTTTAAATAAACCTGCAGTTTTCAGAGCAGCCTGTGAAGGCTGGAAGCGTGTGCCCTCAAGACCCCTGGACTCCTGAGCCTCTTTTGAGGGGTCCGTGCAGGGCAGCTATAGCCAAAGGAGCGCGAGGCTCTGCTCAGAGGCGTCCAGCCCTGAAAAGACAAACGTGGCTCTGCCGCAGCCCCCGAAAGACGGATGCGGCTATTGCACAGCCCCTCGTGGGCTCACGTGGCCGGGGGGCAGCAAAGCCCCCAGCCCCTGTGCCGTGACAGAGGCCGGGAGCGGGAAGCCGGCCGGCCGCGAGAGCCGAGCGAGCGTGCGGAGCCAGCCCTCTGCATATTATGCTGGGAGGCTGGATCTGAGGCTAATGCTATGCCGGGAAGATGGAGCGTCTTGAATTATTACTGTGGCTTCCCCGTGCAAAGGCAGGCGCAGGGCCTGCGCCTCCAGCTCGCCCTTCAGAGCTTCTCCTAGGCTTTTGGGGTGATTTGATTAGTTAAAACAAACAAAAGCCCCAACCCCTGGCAGGTAACGAGTTTGGCCCCAGGGCTTTATCCTGAGCTGTGGCCCCAGAGGAAAGTGAATAACAGGCGGGGAGGGGGGGGTGCCACCCCTGGGGTGGTGCACAGTAATGTGATGATTAACGTATTAATTTATGATGATGAAATGCTGCATTAGGGTATGATGAGCCAGCTCAGAGCCAGGGTCAGGGAGTCAAGAGCGTTGCCCCATGCCTGACCTTGAAGTGTGGTGCAGAGCTGGGGGCTCC